CAAAGTCAATGCTCGCAAGATATTATTTAAAAGGTTAACTGCAAGACAGTTGTGTTTTGTTATTGTCCTTGAACAGATAAAATTTGTGCAACGCGAGGGACATTAGAACACTATTCTTTTATACATTTTTGATTCCCTTTTTGCATAGTTGTTTTCATCATTTCAATACGCCTAGACGGATTTATTTGATAAGTTCTTCAGGCCTAAGCAATATAAACAAGACTCACCGAGGTGACGATCATTAAACAGTTGATACACAATGAACAATGACATGATTGAAACTGGTGGTATAAAATGAACATGGTATGCAGATGGAGTAAATTGGGAATCAAAAGGAAAATATGTTTTGATTGGCACAGAAATTTATGTAGAATTAGGTAATATGGAAAAACTAAGCCTCTGCATTCAATTTCAGTAAACATACTCATTACGAACTGTGCTGGGTGGTTTGTTCGTCCTATTTGATGTAAGTGGCACTCTCCAATCATAATATTCTAAACATTCCAAGCTTATCATGTCCGTTATTATTCCAATACTAAAGAACTTTTAAAAAGAAATTCATGAATAACACATATTGGTCAAAACTTGTAATATACTTTTTTTAAAAACAAAGGGATTGTTTTAAAACTTTGAATTATCTTGCAGAATGTCTATAAAAAAACAACCAATTAGAAATGTGAATATAAATATTTGCATTCATGTACAATGAATGAGTTAATGCCATATTCAAAACTATGTATATTACAAAAAATGTTGATGTGGGTAAGATACTTTCGTATGAATCTTATAGTGTTATATGTCCACGTTTGATAGAATGTAGATATCTATATATTTGAGATACAAGTGCGATGGTCTATCTCCCTCTACAACAATAGTACGAGATGTCTACACCCTACCAGCTTTTGGCAATACTACACTGTTCTATTCTTACATTCCCATTGATTTATAATGGCTCATTCATCTAGTTCAGTGAAATGTATTTTATAGTATTGTATCTCCATTACTTCTCATAAATTTTTCCTGTTAAATAATGATTTTCAAAATTATCTTAGTTTTGTGTACTGCGATTAAATGTTGTGCATGGTTTGATCTCAATCTATGAGAAATTCTTAGCAAATTCAGCTCTACAGAATTGGGGATATTAGAAAGTTTAAAAATCCACGGTCTATCTCCAAAGGAAATATAGGGATAAATTTCTAAAACTACATTGTTTGGAGTGCAATATTCTCTCTCCAAAAACGGGGATGCTTTATTTATCTAAGTTTCTTGTCTATTAAAAACAATCAAGCAAAGAGTTACTCTTCATATACGTAAATTCGAAGTCATGATATTTAAAATTTAAATTCTGATTTAAATTTTTACCACTATTAACAAATGGGAAATACATCACTATAAGTTGCACACGACGATATCTTTTGGATAAAGACTTGGCTCATGATAAATTTGTTAATATTGTTAATATGGTAGAAGGAATATTATGATTAAAGCCATGTGCATTTAACTCATATTTTGTTATACTAATTAATAAAAAGAACCATACCGACACAAACTACATTATATGTTTTGCACTTTTATCACAATGAAACCAATGTACTTGCAGTTGCCTTAGACATTGCTTCTATATTGACCGCAAGTGAGGAATTCAGGCTTGCGATGAGCTATTTAGATTTTTTTAATGACTACATTGAATATACAGAAAAGACTATCAGAGACATGTCTGCTGACTTTTCAGATTTTTTGATACACTGTATCTTCGAAGGGCGGCCATGTAATGAAAGGTATTGTTCTTTTTTTAAACACAATTTTAGTTTCCGGTCGTGCAGATGTACACATATTTACTCTCATAAACTGAACATTATCAAACAAAATTAAACACAGTTACAACATGCAAATGAACACACAAAAATGCACATGGAATTGAAAATATGATAAGAAACTCAAGTCAAAATCCAAACATAATACATTTTTCTAAATGTTGGTAAGTAAATCATTAAAATATGTCTCTACAATAGACTATTTGACTTCGGGTTACAATCTAGGACGACACTGTTAGTTCAACTTCGAACTGTTTCATGTTACATACAGTCCTTAGATGGTGTAAACTTCCCATTAACAGCATACACCATTACACCATTCACCATTACACCATACAACCTGTGCCATTACACCATACACGTTACAACTTTGCACCATACACCTTACACATTACACCATAATGCAATTTAATTTCAAAGAAAGCGTGCGACTACAAAATTATTTATTTATTTAAAAAAACGAGTTTTGATCACAATTTTGTAAATTAATGTATAAAATTAAAAATCAGTTGTTATCAATATTTTGCATAGTTTTAAATTTACACCATTCATTCACACCATTCCCGATCGCACGTTACACTATTACACCATTTCCCTTACACCATACACCATAGCACCATACACCTTCTACCATTGCACCATATGCCATACACCATTACACCATTCATGTTTTTTTTGGGAAGTTTACACCATCCAAGGGCTGTAACCGACCCTGCGATACCCTCATATGTAGCCAATGTCGTTAAACACCCCCTAGTAGTATGTTACATAACCGACCCTGCGAGACCCTCATAGGTAGTGAATGTCGTTAAACACCCCCTAGTAACATGTTACAAAATATCTTATTTCAAAGATTTCACTTGTAACACTTATCTCTGACTTAATTATAACATTGAAATATCTCAATATTTATTTCATTAAGATGTGCATGATAAATGACTCACGATATATTCATTTGATCAAAAACTCCATAACGTTCACACCTTTGTAATGACCGAACTCGTCCGTACTATGTTAATGCAATATTTTCTATCACCACCCTTTGCTATATATTTCGAACAAAGAATACTAACAGCATTTAAATCATAGTAACTCCGGTAATTTGTACTTTAATTTTATATCTCGGTTTATAAAGCAAACGAAACGTGCAATTAACATTAACGTCTGGTTTAAAACACACGAACTTTCGACAATATTTACAACAACTTCCAGTTAATTGAAAAAACAAATGCCGTATACGCAAAATACATTGTTTCTGATTTACAGAATAACTAAAGTTCTAGTTGTAGTTGGTATTAGGAGATCTATGTCAACAAATCGCTGTCTCTATGAAACCGAGCATACAACTGGATTGACGAATAACCCAAGAGAAAATTTACAATATTTGTCATGTGCAACTCAATGCCCTGTACGGAAAATCCTAATATATAACATAATTTCTAAATTGCATCAGACTTGTAACGTTTGTCTGACCACTGTACAAGCATAATGACTTGTGTGGCTATTCATAAGATCAATTTGGCGCTTACTTCAATTGCTTGGATGTCAATCAGGGTGAAAAAAGTATAACAAAAATACTGAACTCTAAGGTATATAAATTAAGGAACGTCAAAAGTGACAAAATTAAACGCTACCGACCAAGGGAACGATTAAAAACAACTGTCATATTCCTAGCATTTTCCGACGAAAGTGGTGAGTTTAGTCTGGTTTTATAGTAAGTAAAACCTCCCACTTGTATGACAGCTGTTTATAGTTCCATCATATTAACAAAATTGGGTGAGCAACCTAAACAGACATAACTATTGTACATGCATCACAATCAATAACTAGAGTTGATATCAAGTAATATCCAATTTTCATGAGTTATTAAACCAATTTATGGTATGGTAAACATATCTTTGTTATTGTTTTTTGCCTCAGCGTATTTGTTCCCTTTTTCGACAACTACTATGGACAGTGCTATAGATTCCCTGCAGAAAAAATCATCACAAGACGTGCAGGCCCACTTTTTGGCAAGTATAGTTTGATATGCATTAACTGTTTTCTACTCAGTAATTTCCACCTCAGGATTAGATTACTTTAGCTTTATTTGGCAAAACCTTTTAGAATGTTTGGTCCTTAATACTCTTCAACTTGATACTTCATTTGGCCTTTTTTAACTCTTTTCATTTGAGCTTCACAAATGCGTCTTTTGTAGACAAAACGCGCGTCTGGTGTACACAATTTTAATCATGGTATCTATGATTAGTTTGTATCAATAGTAAATGATTTGTTAAACCCTCATTGAATCTAATGTTCGAATCATTGAAACAGTAACAAAATTCGTAAAGGTTTGTGTAATTAAATTTGGTTTATGATCAGAAACGGGGAATATATTGACTTAAATAAAAAATTAAAAAAAACGACGAAACAAACAGTAATCCTATAAACTGTAACATAAATTATACGCCTCGAACTTTGCATTTCATGTTTTATTTTTTGAAAGATTTATAATATCATTATATCAAACTTAAATTCACTTATTATAGTATTTTGGCAATATATAACATAAGGACATGTGGTAGAAGTGTGGTATTACTTAAGCAATTATTTGCTTTTTGTTTGTCTTTTTTTTTTTGCTGTGCATGTACTTATTTTGTGTCATGGATTTGTAACCCGTATCTTTTGTTTTCTATTATAGGAAATCGTACGGTACTAAACAGTGTGTAAATCCCATTGCTGGAATATGACAAGATAATAACAAAAACTGATATAACAAACAGTACCCAACGATAACCACTGAATTACAGGCTTCTGGCTTTGGACAGGCACATTCACAATATGGCCGTGTTGAGCATGTTTGTGAGGGCAAGTTTTGAACAAAATCAGCCAATTATTTAATACAGAAACAAACTGTAAACATCTGTTAAGAATAGCTAATTATTCGTTAACCGTAAGACAAAACCACCAAGTATCGATCTACGAAAACGCACAGTTACTGAAAACTAGTTCAAAGCCAACAACAACTACATAAATCATATTCTCCCGCACGACTTCTGTAAATATAGACAATGCAATTTCCCATAGGAACTCCTTCGACGGCTAAAACTGTGCACTTTTACTATGAAGTTTCGTAAAAAATTGTATCCTAAAATGGAAAATTCATATGCACTACTATTTTTCAAAGGTCAAAATAAAGGGCTGTGCGGCATATTTTCAACATGTATATGCTTCGACATTCAAAGTGTTCAAACTTATACTTAAATTCTGTACTTACCCTCTTTTCACTTTGGGTCTTTCTCAGAATTCAATTCGGCTGCTATCCATATGTATTCATACTTGTAAATTTTCCAAGTTGCGACTTTAATCAAACAATTCCTATGAGATGGAAGTTGGCGATATGAAGACAGATATGTGATACATATCAAGCAGATCTTTACATTTGATTTCACATGCTTTGTATTTTTTATTTTAAGTACAACATGTACACAAGCAGAATGGATGAATTGCAATTATATGCTATTTCAAGCTATACTTAAATGTATATTACTATATTTGTTTATTTATTAAGCTTTAAGGATGTTAATCAACGTTAATCAAAGTGATTATGTCCCATACATAGCTTCAGAAGCTGGCATTAGATTGTCCATTCATGAACATGGTTCGCAACCTTATTTAGAAAATAGTGGAATCTCTGTAGCAACAGGGTTTAGAACGGACATTTCCCTAATTCAGGTAAGCTAAGATCGTTTGAATTGTTTTACACCTGTCATTTCTGTATTATAGATACAATGAATAGGCGTTGAATCTTGAAAAAGAAACCATGAACACGGAGGACCAATTATTTTGCTTTTCATGAATCAACGCTTGTTAATTATATCTCTAACTTAAACTATTTGAAACTTAAAGCCTTTTCTCAATAAGAGGGTATTGTTAATGAGTTTAAATAACCATGTTATCATGTTCAACGATGCATTAATAAATTTAAGTTCACAATTAATTGGTTAGAGAAATACAAATATAACATAATACATCATTCTTTAAATTATCATGCATCTGAATATCATTCATAATTTACATAATAAGGCATATTCGAACTGATTTGTAAGTACATATAATTATTATGCTACTGCAAATTCTATCAAGAAGCCTAATTCTAGGCATACCATGATTTACTCGCATAGGGATTTGGGAATACTTATTTGTAAATATATGTAGTAAAACAGATGAAAGCATACTATATTATTAAAATCAATAATGAATAAATTGATTGTAATCATTCTCTTTTCAAATATGTGAAATAGCCAATAATAATCCAAAAAACCCGCTATTACTACACAAATATCCGCAGTAACAAATAAAATAAGAAACACGGAAAAACTAAATTATAGGGATAACAAAGCAAACACAGGGATTCGAACCTAAACCAACTAGTCTTAACCTTTTGACTTTTTAACTCATTGATCTTAACCATATTAACCTCGCGGCTACCAACTTATACTATACAATTGTCTATTGTGTATACATAAAGGTACAAGCCCTGTGTGTCCGTTGTACTGATATGTATCATATGTTAAATTTATATATATATATATTTATTGTTTCTCCCACATACTGAATGCCACAAGTGTCACATGTTAATATATAAATTGAGTTCTCCGTTTTACAGTTGGAATTTGAGTAGATGGTATAATTTTGTTTAGTAACGGAGCTGATGAAAGAACTGCTTGTATTGGCAGCTTTACAACACAAGCAGTTCCTTCGACCACATTGTTTGTAGCAACCGGGAGATGGAGTAGGCTGCTTTGCTAATACAGATGTCACTAATTTGTCACGGATGTTTTTAGGTCTTCTGAAGGCCATGACTGGTGGTGAGGAAAATACTTTTTAAAGATTTGAATCATTTTCTTTAATTTTCCAATGCTTCTGAACAATGGAAGACACATTTTTAAAATCAGGATGGTAAGTGAGTACAAGGGGTATATTAACATGTGACACTTGTGGCAGTCAGTATGTGGGAGAAACAATGGACAAATTTAATATTCGGCTCAATAACCATCGTTCATGGTACAAAACCAACAAAAACTGTCCTCTCACAAGACATCTTCGTTCAACGAAACATTCTTTTGATAATGTTACTTTCCCAATCATAGAAGTCAACACCGAGTGGGACACCACGGCGAGAAGGAGAAGAGAACATTTTTGGATCCACCAACTCCACACTTTAGAACCTGATGGTCTTAACGAAAAAGATGAGAAAAGATACAGGAAAGATAAAGAATAATTTAGTACACAGCATCGTCCTTTTTATCCTGTAATATTGGCCAATGGACGTTGCTAACTTCAACTACCAATTTTGTAAAAATCTTGAACTTCATTCAAATTATGTATTACTTTCAAGGCAGCTAAATTCAAGTGCAACATATACATTGAGCTGCAAAAGTTTCTTATCATCTACATTCGATTTCACCTGGATAGATGTACGCCTGATAAAGCTAGTTAGTCTAGCGAAATATTGCGTTTATTTACATCATTTTCTAAATATTTTAAACATTCTTATATTTACATACTAAATAGTGTGATAAAATTACATTGTTAGGCAATCTTATATATATAGTGTCTAAAAATAGCAACAATCAACATTCTATCGATCTAGGCTTGGATTAATTTGTAAATAAACTGTACAGTTACTACATTAAAATATATAAGTGCCTAAGAATATAACTTTAACACACTAACGAGTGTTATAAAATTAGTTGTTATATTTTATATTATTCACGCAATATTTCGCTAAACAAATTAGCTTCATCAGGCGTGTGCATCTCTCAAGGTGAAATCGGATGCATGACAAAAAAAATATTTTTGTAGCTTGAACTACACAAAATTTGAGTAAAAGTTTAACAAAATTTATTGATGTTGTATATAAATATATGTTTGTAAATTGTCTAGAAAAATATTTTTGCCGCTTATTGTTAGCTTGAACTACACAAATTTTGAGTAAAAGTTTAACAAAATTTATTGATGTTCTATAAAAAATATATGTTTGTAAATTGTCTAGAAAAATATTTTTGCCGCTTATTTTACATAGCAATTCTTAAATCAAAACAAATAGTTGTTTTAGTTAAATAGAATACAGTTCAGGTTTTAATCCTTTGGTTTTTAAAGGCAGTGCTTTAATGCCTTTCTAGTTGCCGGGTTAATCCTTCCTTCCGCGATATCCAACTTATCTACGTGGGGGGTCATTAGACTCCAAGTAGATCCGGAAATGTTGAATTCTCTCCTCTTCTTATTGCGATATAAAATGTTTTTTGTTTCATTTCATTTACATTGTGAAATAGAGAAACGATCATTGTGTTTTGTTAGTTTTAAAAACTTTTGATATATTAGTATTTTGCATTATAAGCCGTCAACCGATTGACAAACTAGAATTATTTGAATTCCGTGTGGAAAGAGCTCGGGTTAATTTCGAGTGTTATCTGCAATCTAGATGTTTATAAATCATTTCAGTCGTTGATATAATAATTAAAGGTCGACTGAACATGAATTATATTATACAATTTAAAGCGCATTTCTGTTTATGCAAGTGAACCCGTCTAACGTTATTTTCGCAGTTATATAAAGTAGCAAATTATCGTTCCTGAATAGGTGGCGCCGTGGTAGCGGATCCTGTTCCTCTTCTTCCGGTTTCTGCACTGTGCAACTATTTCAGTTATATTTTTAATTAACGATGCCAAGTACTTGTTGTTGTGTACCTGGATGTCATTTAAGAGGAGGACATGCATTTCCAAATGACTTAAAAAGAAGGAAAAGTTGGATCAACGCCATGGCCCATACGCAGATTGGACGAGAACACGATGATATCGTGGAGTCCATCTCAATCAGCTGTTGTTTGCAAGGCACGTTTTACTGAAAAAGACTACGTGGAGGAAACTATTCATGGTAAAACTTTATTTTTCTTTGTGAAATATATAGTTATATATGTAATCTCCATGCGAATAAACCAAAGTCTGTTTACAACCGCAATTATCGTTTTAGAATAAAAGGGGGTGGGTAATTCAAGACGTCATAATTTTTTGGATTACGATTCAATGTGATCTGTTTGAGATTTTTTGGTGATTGCTACAATTATAATGATTTCTTACAAGAGGTATATCATACTGAGAATTATTTTAGCAGTAATTATGCTAATGTAGTAATGACAGGAATGCATAAGCTATGCCTCATAGACTTTCTTGAAAAATATCAATGACAATGTTAACAGGAGCAAAACAATGACATGCTCTCATCTATATTATAGTTATTTAGGTACAAACAATGTACGTTTGTTGCATAAGTCTCTCATTGTTTATCCTTTGGATTAACATAACATACATTGAATCAGGCAAACATAGTTTTATCCAGATTGTAATGAATAAATCTAGTTAATATTTCGCCAGGTAGTACAAAGTAAACATTGCTAATGGAAGTTCATTTAATTTTAAAAAATCTAATGTTTTATAACCTTTTTCAGGGCGCAAACCCTCCATACAGAGACTTAAGTCTACTGCAATTCCCAGCCTATTTTCCAAGCAAGAGACTGAATCGTTCGCAAAAAGAAAAATCAGGGCAGTTTCCTGTGAAAACAAAAGAACTAAACTTGATGAATATTGTAGTAGAAATCTAGAGGAAAGTTTTGATTGTAAAGTTGGTTTTCCTGAAGAAGTCATTCATACTGCAGAAAGGATTTATGACTGTCCACCACCAACTGCTGAGCTAATGTTGAGCTTCACAGATGGAATTACGCAAACACCATCAATGCCTATGTTTTCAGCAGAGAATTTTGAAATGAAGACACGTGACACAGCCATGCATTTTTATACCGGTTTAGAGTTGTATAGTAAATTTTTATTTGTTTTGACCACACTTGGTCCAGCAGCACATTGTTTGAGATACATATATTTTCAAATTGATAGGGTGTCAGTTGAAAATCAGTTTTTTTATGACTTTGATGAAATTGAGGCATCATACAACCAACTTTGAACTGTCTAGATTCTAGATTGAATCTAGTGTTAAGAATATTGTGTATACATGGATTGTTTTTATGTCTAAACAGTGGTATGAGGCTAACACTTGGCCATCTAGTGGTTTAGTCAGGTATTTTTCACCATCCAACTTCAAATTAAAGTTTCCTACGACTTGGATTATTATTGACAGCACAGAATATCCCGTGATAAAACCTAAAGCTCCTAGAGCTCAGGCAACCTTTTCATCAAATAAAAACAGAAACACTGAAAATTCTTGAATGTTCGACACCTGGTGGTGTAGTCAACTATGGCTCTATGTCACATAGAGCGAATTATTGGACTTGGCAAAACATACAAAATTCTAATAAATCCTATGAATGGAACTGAAACAAAACTTTCATCTGAAATAACATTTAGTTGTTTTATGTTGTGTAATTTTAGAACTTGTATTGTGCCAAAGGATGCATAAATAAAAGTGACGCAATGAATTTTGTTCTGATATATATATATATTTACAATTACATGCACATGTAAATTGTAATGCATATAAAAATAAGGAGATGTGGTATGATATTCAGTGAGTTTATCAAACTAAAGTGCATAAGAAATGGGTTTAAGCAGTTACAGGTGTTACTGTCACCGTACAATCTCCAACAATGAGAAAAACTCGTACCCTGTAAAAAATTTCAGAGATCTTACAACTAAGTTTTGTTGTCTCACCTTGACTTTGGT